CACTTCTCCCTCCTTACGCCCTTTCCCTTGACCCCTACAGGCTCCAGACTGGGTGGATGCAGAGGAGTGTCACAGGTGCCGCGTGCAGTTTGGCGTTGTGACGCGGAAGGTGGGTGCAGCTCCTGCCCCTCTGGGTTCCCTGCTCTACACAGCCCTTGGTACTTGCAGAACTCCCTGCAGGACTTGCTGTGTGGAAATGTGCTGGGGACAGACCATGTTTCCTGGCTGCTGGCAGGGAAGTGACAGGAGTGTCTGAGTGATGGTGGTTAAAGGAGAAGGAATGTCTTGCCACCACACTCATGTCTCCTGTCCTTCACAGCACCACTGCCGGGCCTGCGGGCAGATCTTCTGTGGAAAATGCTCCTCCAAATACTCCACCATCCCCAAGTTTGGGATTGAGAAGGAAGTGAGAGTCTGTGAGCCCTGCTATGAGCATCTCAACAAGTCAGTACCCTTTGTGGTGGGTTTATTTGCCTGCAACAGCTGGGACTTGGAGGGGGGAAGCATGGTGTTGAACTAGCTCCCTGCAGAGCACAGCAAGGGCTTCACTGCTGTGCAGGCTGGGCTGGGCCCTCTTCCTTCCTGGGAGTGGGGTTTGCTGCTGGAACATAGTGCAGAGCTGGGCTCTGGTGCGGGGAAGGGATCATTCAGTCCATACTATCACCTGTCACTACAGGAAAACTGAGGGTAAAGCTGCTGCCACCTCTGAACTGCCCCCTGAGTACCTGACCAGCCCCCTCTCTCAGCAGTCCCAGGTGAGCACCTGCCCCATAGGTGATCCTGACCTGTTTGTTGATCCCATTACTGACCACCTCCTCATCTTTCCACTTCCAGCTGCCTCCAAAGCGTGATGAGACAGCTCTGCAAGAAGAAGAGGAGCTCCAGCTGGCTATTGCCTTGTCTCAGTCAGAGGCTGAGGAGAAGGAGAGAATGGTTTGTTTGCTGCTGGGATCTGGGAGGGGTTGTTGCTCTTCAGCCCATCTGTGCTGGGCCATAACAGGTCTCTGAACATGTCCTGCTGTGAGCAAGACTCAAAGCCTGTGGAGTGAGTGAAAGCAGAGCTGGGCACAGGCTGTGTTGTGGTTGGTTTGGAGAATCCTAGACTCTCTCTGAGTTGGCAATTTTCTCTTTTGCAGAGGCAGAAAACAACCTACTCCATGTACCCTAAGGCTGAGCCCACTCCTGTCACGTCATCGGCTCCCCCAGTCAGCACGCTCTACTCCCCACCCGTGGTATGTCTGTGGCAGCTCCTGGACGTGAAGTGGCTGGACACAGGCCTCTTCCTGAGCCCGAGTCTGCCCTGATTGTGTCCAATTTAATCCCCTTACTGAGGGAAAATACTTGCCCCATTCAACCCCTTGCTTGTTCACTGTTTTTTAGCAAGAAGGTGTGCTCTCAGATAGGACTTAGGTGCCTCCACTCGCAGCTTGTGTCCCCTTTGAGGCTCTCACTGGTGCTCAGCACTGGTGGTCATACATGGCCAGGTCTGAGCTGAACATTTCTGTGGGACCTGGAGATCTCTGGTTTTGCTGAACTGCATTTCTCCATTTGTCTCTTTCCAGAATTCCTCTGCTCCCTTGGCTGAGGATATTGACCCAGAGGTAAGGATCCTGGCCCTGATAGTCTGCAGCACAGGCTTGCTCCTGCAAGGCAGTGATGCTCATCTTCCTTCTCCTCCTGGCAGCTGGCTCGGTACCTGAACCGCAACTACTGGGAGAAGAAACAGGAGGAGGTTCGCAAGAGCCCCACACCATCAGCACCCCTGTCCCTGACAGAGCCAGCTGTGCAGCCTGGGGAGACCCACCCTGCCACTCTTGGGGTGGTTGAGGTAAGAGGGGGCCTGTGCCTGGGTCTGGCACTTACCGAGGGGCAAGAAGCACCTGAGTCTTGGGCTCTGCAGGCTGGCTGCTGCCTCTTGGCACTGGGAGGTCACAGCTGACTGGCTGCCCCATCCTTCCTTCCAGCAGCAGTACCAAAACGGTGAGTCCGAGGAGAACCACGAGCAGTTCCTGAAGGCACTGCAGAACGCAGTCACCACGTTCGTCAACCGCATGAAGAGCAACCACATGCGAGGCCGCAGCATCACCAACGACTCTGCCGTGTTGTCCCTCTTCCAGTCCATCAACAACATGCACCCGCAGCTGCTGGAGCTGCTCAACCAGCTGGATGAGCGCAGGCGTGCGTGGGAGCGGGGGGAGCTGCTGCCCTGGGCATGGGTGGGCGGCAGCCAGGGCTCCATAGTGTCAGGGTTCAGCATTCCCATGACGCAGTGTCACCGGAGAGAATCTAGTGTGGAGGGCAGGGGCAGTCCAGGTGCTCTGTCCCTATGTTCCTGAGGCTGTCCCTTCTCTCCTCAGTGTACTATGAAGGCCTGCAGGACAAACTGGCCCAGATCCGGGATGCACGTGGGGCTCTGAACGCGCTGCGGGAGGAGCACCAGGAGAAGCTTCGCCGTGCAGCGGAGGAGGCAGAGCGGCAGCGCCAGATCCAGCTGGCACAGAAGCTGGAGATCATGAGGCAGAAGAAGCAGGTGAGGCAGGGAAGCATGTCCAGGGTATTCCAGACCTGCCTGCACTGTGGCTCAGTGCAGGGCTGGCAGGGATGGCTGCCCTGGTAGGGGGGGGCTGTGTGGTATCATGGCTCCCAGCCACCACAGCCCTGTTCCTGCAGGAGTATCTGGAGATGCAGCGTCAGTTGGCCATCCAGCGACTGCAGGAGCAGGAGAAGGAGAGGCAGCTGCGCCTGGAGCAGCAGAAGCAGACCATCCAGATGAGAGCCCAGATGCCAGCTTTCTCACTGCCTTATGCCCAGGTACAGCTGCTGGCGTAGGCTCCCCTTGCCAGGTTCCAGGGACTGCAGCTTTAAGCTGGCTTTCCTTCTCCCACCAGCTCCAGGCCATGCCCGCAGCCAGTGGGGTGATCTACCAGCCCTCTGGGCCCACCAGCTTCCCTGGCACCTTCAGCCCAGCTGGCTCTGTGGAGGGCTCTCCCATGCACAGCGTGTACATGAACCAGGCTGCGCAGGGAGGAACTGGGCCATACACTGCCATGCCCGTCACCGGGACTGGTACGTTGGGCAGCTCAGCCTCTGCGGGCAGGGGTGAGCCCAAGGTGGCTGCTCCAACCTCTGCTCTCTCCACCCAGATCCCAGCATGGTGAATGCCTACATGTACCAGCCAGGTGCCAGCAGTGGGCAGGGGCCTCAGCAGGGGCCGGCGGTGCCCACCACCACCCCCGCTTATTCATCCTACCAGCCCACACCCACACAGGGCTACCAGGCAAGTGAGGCAGCGCAGCCTGCAGCCAACTGGGATGAGGGCTGGGAGGTTCTGAGGGGCTGGGCAACGTGCCCAAACTCAGCAATGGCATCTCTGAGCAGGAGGGAGGATGGGCTGGTTGGTTCTGAGATCTGCTCTTGCTGTGGAAGTGGGCTGGAATTAGATCCAGTTCTGGGCTCAAGGGCCTTGTCTGGAGATGTGAGCCATTGCTGTCTGTGCCACCTCTCACCAGCCTCTTCCCACAGACTGCAGCCTCACAGTCGCAGAGCATGCCAGCCATCTCCCAGGCACCCCAGTCGGGCACCATGGGCTACATGGGCAGCCAGTCTGTCTCCATGGGCTACCAGCCCTACAGCATGCAGGTGAGTGCTCCCTGCTTGGGCACAGGGAGACAAGGCGTGCATGGGGCTCCAGCCCATGGAGCCATCCTGGAGGAGGTCTGCTGGAGGCTGGGGGCAGTCACCACTGCCCCGTGGGTGCTGCATGTACCCCAGCCCCTCTGACACCCACCCCCTCATTCCCATAGGGTCTCATGTCTGCCCTGCCAGGCCAGGACACAGCTTTGAGCAGCCTGCCAGCCCAGCAGTCCTACCTGCCCGGGCAGCAGCCCCTCTACCAACAGGTGAGTGCTACAAGCCCAGGGGTTCAGGACCCAGTGGGGCACATATGCCCACGAAGCCACACACTAACAAAGCTGTTTCCTCTGCTCCAGGTGGCCCCAGCTGGGGGTCCCCCCCAGCAGCAGCCCCCAGCAGCACCTGCTCCTGGGCAGCAGCCCCCAGGCAGCGGAGAGGCCCAGCTCATCTCGTTTGACTGATCGCGGCCACAGGGCACAGGGATCTCAGGGGTCCCGTGGGTCCAGTGAAACACTACTCTTCATCCGAAATCACTCTGTACTACTCGTCCTGCCCCCCGGCCCCGTGTCCCAGGGGCGGTGGGGCCACAGGCTCCTACTGCCGGCTTTGGGGACCAAGGAGCAGGGTGCAGCCCCCCCATGCCCTGCAGCCTGGGGCAGCCCGGCTCCCCGCGCCCACCCTCGGCAGCTGGCGGCCCCTGGGCCGGGCGGGAGCTCGGCCTGCCCCTGTCGTTGCCCCATCCCTGCTGAGCCCCGCTCCCTGCAGCGCCCTCGCGGGCCCGGGGCCCTTGGCCGGGCCCGGCCTGTCCCCGTGCCCGCCCCTCTCGGCGGAGACCGAGCGCTATCGGTGACAATAAAGGATCGGAACGAAGCGCGGCCTCGTGTGCTGGGCGGGGGCGGCTCCGGGTGCAGATCCCTCAGAGCTGGCCAGCTTCAGCTCACACCGGCCTTCGGCCGCCTGCATTTCCTCCCTACAGTGTCTGGAATGTTTCTATGCTGTAGATGCATAATCCGAAATTATTAAGCTTTATGGAGCGTTAGAATGTATTACTGCAGTTAGTGAAAGTCGAAAAGGTAAAACGACAAGGCTTTCAGACTTTATTTTTGTTTCTTTTAATTTGCATTCATTACGCTTTCAATTTTACCTTTAACCATGGTGTACAGTGTATAAATATAACCAATTGTCCTTCCAAACATTCGGGAGAGGAAGCAATTTCTGTTCCTTCAGGCGTGATTTTTTTTTTTTTTCTACTCTTACTCATGAGTAGTAATGGATTTATTACTATTGATTTTGCCTCCATCTCCCATCGCGCCTTGGTTCGCTGCCCTTCTTGTCACTATTGGCTCTCCGTCGGTACCGAGGGGCCCGCCGGGAGCGCGGGCGGAGCGTTCGGTGTCCTCGGGCCGCCATGCTGCCCGCCGCGCTGCCCGCCGCCCGCCGGGCGCTGCTCCCGCCGCTGCTCCCGCTCCCGCCGCTGCTGCCGCCGCGCCCCGGGCCCCGCGGGCTCCCCGCCGGGCTGCGGCCGCTCGGCACCGGCCCCGCGCGGCGCTCGGAGGCGCTGGCCGGGGCGCCGCTGGACACGGCCGCCAAGGAGTACTCGCCCAAGGTGCGGCAGCTGGTGCGGGACATCGCGGGGCTGACGCTGCTGGAGGTGGCCGATCTCAACGCGCTGCTCAAGGTGGGTGCGGGGGCGGCCCGGTCCGGCCCGGCCCGGCCCGGCCGCGTGCGCCGCCTGACCGGCCGCTGGCGCCGCTGCTCTTCCCGCAGGAGACGCTGAAGATCCCGGACGTGGGGGTGATGCCCGCGGCGGCCTCCGCCGCCGTCCTGCCCGCCCAGGCGGCTCCGCAGGTACCGGGCGCTCCGGGAGGGGCGGGAGCGGGGCCCCGGGGACCACACGCGCAGGGGCGGGCTCGGCCGGGGGGCTTCACCGCGCTCCGGATGCTTCCAGGAGGAGGAGGAGGAGGTCCCGCTCAAGAAAGAGAAGACTCATTTCACCGTCCGGCTGACGGAGCTGAAGGCCACTGACAAGGTGAAGTTGATCAAGGAGGTGAAGAACTTCGTGCCAGGAGTGAACCTCGTGCAGGTGAGGAAGTGCTGCCCCAGGCTCTGGTGTGTTGCTCCCAGGTCCAGCAGCCTCGGCTCTCTGTTGAAAAGGAGCCTGGAATTGTGCATTCAGAAGCACAGAAGCAGGGGAATGAAGGAGGAGGCTCAGAACAAAGGACTCGGAGATGTTCATGCCAGCCTCAGCTTCTCCAAACCTGAGAGCTGCTGTGAGCTTTCTTGCAGAGCTCAGGAGTAGCCAACAGCTATAGCTGGGTTTGGCTTGCCTTTCCCAAAGCCTATGCATTTCTGGAGTTAAACGAGCCTCTCTAATTCACACATTTTGCAATCCAGGCTTCCAGCTCTTATCAGGGCCCTTCACTTTATAGATGGGGTGCTGTTTCTTTCCTTGGAGGAGGTGGGCCTCAGCCCTGGGCAGTGTCTGAGCTCAGGCCCTTGACCTCGGATGTGGACTCAGCATGTTGGGTGATGAAGCTGCTACTGCTAAAGCATGTAATGTGCTGCACTTCTCCACAGGGTGATGCTTTCATATCTTGGGGTCAATAGTAGCTCTTTTCAGTATTCCAGCTGCAACACTGAGCATTGTAGTGTCAGCTCCTATTGTAGCCCAGGAGAGCAGAAATGTTTGCAGATAATCTTCTGACCCATTCTTATTACTGCATTGCAAAGGCAGCAGAGAAGGCCAGTGGCACAGGTACAAGTTTGGCTGTCCCGTGGGGATAATTACCTGACTGTCAGTGTGGTTCCCGTGTGGTTCCTCTGGAAGCTGTTTATCTGGAAGTTGTTCATCTATTATTGGTCCCAAGCAAACATGAAAATGCCAAACCCTGTAATAGATACAATCAGCAGATAATTTACTGGAGAGCTGATGCTAAGTGAGCTTGGCTTTGCATGTGGCACCTGCTGGATGAGTTGTTTGTAGGTGCCAGTTTTTGCAGGCAAACTCAAGTGTGATGTACCAAGCACTTTGGCTGAAACACACACACACACAAATAGTTGTGGAGGTTCTACCTGCAGAGGTTGTGTTCAAAGTGGAGCCAAAGCCCTTTTATTGTAAATTTTAGTGCCATCCAGTTGAGGTATTTTTTACAAAGTTTTTGGGGGGGTCTGCCCATGGCCTGTAGGGCTGCTGATTCTATGGAGGGAAGCACATAGAGTGATTACCTTGGGCACTGTTGGGACCCAGACATCAGTCCTGTGACAACAACTGCATGATGAGATAGGTGCGTGATCAGCACACACCAGACCGAGGCTGGCTGCACCTCAAGAAGATCACTGGGAGCTGCCCAGCAGATGCTTGCCCTCTGTCACCACCAGCCCTGGGCTCTAGCTGGACTAAGAGCATGCTGCCTCTGCCCCATGGCTGCTGCTGCACAGATCCCACTTGACTTGGGCTCTGCTCTTCTTGCCACTGAACACCAGGAACAGCTGCTTCTCTTTACCGGGGCTGCTTTAGAGTGGAGTCACACCTTGCTGAACAGGGTTTAGAAATTAATAACCTGTGCTGTGTTGCCTGTCCCCATTGCAGTGAGCCTGAACAGGCTTTTGTCCAGGGCCTGTCCTGGTGGACAGAGGCATTCCTGCCCCCCACCAAGCACTGCCCACACTTCTGTGCCTTCTAAACACAGCAAAGAAAGCATTTTTCTACCACTACAGATACGTAGGCATTGAACCCAGCAGAAATCAAAAGGACAAAACCTTTCTGCCAGCACAGTGGCCAGTCCAGTGGGTGCTAAACCCCTGCAGTGCTGTGGCAGAGAGCTGCAACGTGCAAGAGCAGCAGGGGCTTGTCCCCTCAATAGCAGCACTGCAGTAAATTAACTCTTTAAATTAACAGCTCAACAGTTTTTCAGTTTGCCTTAAGTATTGCAGTGCTGCTTAGTACCAATAGTTTTGCCTTAAGAGTCCGTAAAACATCAAAATACTTTGTTGTCAAGTAGTCTGTGCCGGAACTCTGTTTCAGCCAGTGCAGCTGTGTCCAAACCCTGCACTGGCCTCCCCTCCTGCTGGTACAAGTATGTGAACCAAAACACTGTCACTGAGCAGAGCCAGCCCAGCGCCAGGCGGATGCTGCCTCAGCAGGCCAGTGCACAGGGTCTGCCTGCACCCACACCTCTGCAGGCTGGGGCACATCTGGGAGCACCATGCCTGCAGCAGAAGAATTTAAGAGCAGTGGATTGCAGGAAAAGGTTTCCCAGCAGATGTGCCATCGCTTGCAGTCAGGTTTAGCTGCCTTCTGGTAGGCTGTGCTGTTGTTCAAGTGTAAGTCTCAGGTTTTGTGCTGGTCAGTGAGTTTCCATGGTTGGCTTAAGCAGAGGTCAGGATCATGGCTCTAAATCCAATAATCCAGTTAGTGAAAGCCTGTTTACAAGCCTCGTACTTTGTCCCTCTCACAGGCAAAGAAGCTGGTGGAGTCCCTTCCACAGGAGATCAAGGCGAACGCCTCCAAGGAGGAAGCAGAGAAGATCAAAGCAGCGCTAGAGGCGGCAGGAGGGACTGTTGTTCTGGAGTAGTCTCGCCATGGAGAGACTGGTGCTTCAGCTGCTGCCCGAGCCGGGCTCCGGACCTTTCCGAGTGCATGTGGCACAGTGGGAGTACTCTCCCGAAGAATGCTGTATGGTTTGGCAGAGCTGCTTCTGCCTGCCATCACCATGAACTCTACCTTATAAATATCAAAAAAAACCTGTAAAATGGTTAATCTTTCTCAAACATTGATTATCCTCACGCTCCCCATTTCAGGGAATCAGAATGGTTTAGGGTGGAAGTGACCTTGAAAGATCATGTCAGTCTAGCCCCTTGCTATGGGCAGGAAAAACTTCCACTGCCCCAGGTTGCTCCAAGCTCCATCCAGCCTGGCCTTGAACACTTCCAGGGATGGAGCAGCCACAGTTGCTCTGGGCAGGCTGCCCAGAGAAAATTTCTTCCTAATATCTAATCTAAACCTACTCTGAGTTTGAAGCCATTCCCCCTTGTCCTGTCACTACATGTTCTTGTAAATAGTCTCTCTCCATCTTTCTTGTAGGCTCCCTTCAGGTACTGGAAGTTTGTACCAGCACATCACCCACCTCCTTACGCTGCCTTTTGCTGATGGTCTTACTTCTCTGTTTATTATTAATGAGAAGAACACACTTCCACAGGTTGTGGAGATGCATGCAGGGTGGGAAAGGGTATTCTGGAGCTGCTGATTATCCCTGCACTCAGTGTGTGCACGGTGGTAACGCTGCCGTTTGTACCTGTACCTCCCCCTCCTCTCTGCGTTTTGCTGATGGCTTCGCTGCCCATTAATTAATCCCTGTTAGTTATTAATGGGAAGAGCCACTATCCCGGGCTTGAAGTGGGGATGTGTGTGGGGTGGGAACGAGGATGCCGGGGCCGGCGGTTGCGGCGTTCGCCGCAGACTCGGAGATGCGAGTCCCGAGCCCGCCCCACCTTCCGGTACCGGGCGGGGGCGTGGCTTAACGGGCGGGGGCGTGGCCTTGTCCCGGTGAGGGCGTGGCTTCTGGCAGAAGCGGCGCCCATGGCGGAGCAGCGCGTTTCGCGCTGGTACTTCGGCGGCCTCGCGTCGTCCGGGGCCGCCTGCTGCACCCACCCCTTGGATCTGCTGAAGGTGAAGAGGGGACATGCCGAGGGGCGGCTCTGGCGGCGTGGGGAGGCCGCTGAGGGGATGGAGGGCGAGTGTGAGCAGCTGTGGGTGATTGCGGTGGTCTGGGGGGGCTGTGAGGCGATGGGGAGACGGTTATGGGCGACCGGTAGTGGTGAGGGGTTGGGGGGGACGGTTAGGGGGGCTGGTAGTGGTTGTGAGGGTTCCGGAGAGGGTGTGAGAGGATGGGGAGGAGGTTAGGGGGAATGGGGACTGGCTGTAGGGGTCCTGGAGAGTCTGCGATGGAGCGGGGAGAACGTCTGTGGGTCTTGGAGCGGCTTTGGGGGACTGGAAGTGGCTGTGAAGGGATGGGGACGCACTCCGAGGGTCCCGGGAGCAGCTGTAGGGGACAGGGCTGCAGCAGGGGGAGCGGCTGTGAGGGGACGGGGAGTGGGTCTGAGGGTCCTGGGGTGGCTGTGGGACCGCCTGTGAGGGACCTGGCTGCGGGGGTGCGTCTGTGAGGGTCCCAGAGCAGCTTTGAGGGGATGGGGAGTGGCTTGGGGGGAACTCCGAGAGCCCTGGAGCGGCTGCAAGGGGATGAGGAGCGGCTCTGAGAATCCCGGGGAAGCTGAAGGGCTGGCTCTGAGGTACTGTGGAGTGGCTGCCACAGGAGGGGAGAGGGTCCTGGAGCAACTGGAGGGGATGGGGAGCTGCTCTGGGGTTCTGTGAAGCAGGCCTGAGGGTCCTGAAATGGTTGTGAAGGGGTAGGGAAGGGCTGTGAGAGTCCCAGAGCAAATGGGGGAGCTGGAGAACAGCTGTAGTGGTCTGGAGAAACAGCTGCTGGGGGTCGGTTCTGAGGAGCTGATTCACGGCTATGCAGGGACACGGCTGAGGGGTCGCACGACACAGCCCAGGGTCACGGGTGCATGTGTGACTGAGGGGTCTGGGGACCTCGGGGTGCCAGCTCTAGGAGCTGTGGAGGGTGCCTTGGCCAGCCCTGCCTGGATATGGCAGTGACTCTGGGGCCAGCAGTGTTGGACACTGGCCCACTGGGCTCTGTGCCCTCCGGCCAAGATGTCACCTAGGCGCCGCAGATGACCTGGCATGCCTGCTCCTGCACAAAGGGCGCCGCGCGCAGCCCTGTGCTGCCAGCACCCACGGATGGGGCAAATGCCAGTGCTGCCCAGAGCCTTGTGTGCCAGCCAAGTGGCGACGAGCCTGGCAGCAGAGCAGGCTGCGGAGGGGGAGGGAAGAGGCAGCTCAGGACAGGACCTGCCCTTCCCAGGGCCATGCCTGTGGGATGTCGCTCTATTAGGAACGGCGAGAAGAGCGACAGTGGGAGAGGCTGGGACAGGCAGCCCCTTCCCACCCCATGGCACGGAGAGAGAGGAAGATGTTCTAAGCACAGGAGAGGAGCCAGCCCTGGCAGAGCAATGCCACCTCCCCGGTGCTCAGCTTGTTGCCTTGTCCAGCTGGCCCTGTCTGCCCAGTGGAAGTGGCTGCCAGCCCGTGGGAGCTTGTGTGGGGTGCCCTGGCAAGGCGCTAAGAAAGGGAATTAGTCTGGCACCTGCCTGTAGGTCTGTCTCTGAGCCAGTATGATGGCTGTGACGTTTGGGCTGCATCCCCATGCTGTACTGTGTGGATGTGAAGCCCCGCGCTCCTGCAGTTGTGAGCAGCACAGCTTAGCCAGCTGTTTTTGCCAGAGAGTTCACACCTGATTATTGAATATAGAACTGCCTTTAGCCAAGAGTTCCCCCAGAGCAGGGGCTGGTGCCAGGCCTGGGGAGGCACAAGGGGCCTCAGGCTCTGGCAGGGCAGGGGACGAAGGGCACTTCATTACACCTCTGGACCTTGGCCCCAGTGAGAGGCCCTGGCCAGCCCGCCTGCAGAGTGCTTGTGCCCTTAGGCCAACTCCATGCAGCCGCTGGCCACACACAGGCTGCTGGCCCTGCAGTGATCAGCAGTGACCACAACCTGGTCAGCCCATCCCATGCCTGCCTGCCTCCTGCCCTTCCTGCAGACCTGGGACTGCAGGCAGTGGACCGTGTCCCTGCATGGCTCTGCCTGCCCTGCCCACTTCATCTGCCTCAGGCTGTGACCAGCCGTAAGCTCTGGTCCCTGATATCCAAAATCCACCTGTGAGGACCGCAAGCGGGCCCCTGCACCCCTGCTGCTGCCCCATATTGGAGACAGTGGCTGTTCCCAGCGTCCTGCAGTGTGTCCCACGACCCAGCTGTGCCATGGCTTCTGTAGAGGGAGCTGGGCCTGAACCCTGACAGCAGCCCTTTGCCCTCCTTATCTCCTGGGGCCTTTGACCCACATGTGGTCTCTGCAGTGCTCAGAGCATGCTCCTCTGTCCCAGCCAGCTTCCGTGCCTGTTGCCGTTGCCCCTGGTGATGGTGGGAAGCGCTGGGCTGCTACAGGCAGGAAGGGGAGCGCCTGGCCTGCTGTGGGATTCTCTTCCTGCCTATGGGATTCCTACACCGGGGAAGAGGGGAAGTGGCTCTGGAGGCCTGCCGCAGAGCCTGGCTGTGATTTCACCAGCCCAGCTGCATCCCTCTGAACAAACCCACACTGGGCACTCGCTCACCCACCCACACCTTCCACCCTGAGGTGGCCCGAGGAGCAGGCACTGCCCTTCACCTTGGGACCGGCTGTTGAGGGCAGGGCCTGGGAGGTGCTGCCGGCAGGTGCCTGGGCACTCCTCTCTCCCTCACTGTCTCCACCCCTCAGGTGCCAGGCTGGGCCAGTCTGGTGTGGGGTGTCAGGAGCTATTGCGGTTGGCTCCTGTGCAAGTGCTGTTAACCTGGCACGTGTTCAAATCCACACCTGCTCAGTGCGCTTCTATCCCTGCCCAGCCCAGCGCTGGGCTGACGCTGCTGCGCTCTGCCCCAGGTCCACCTGCAGACACAGCAGGAGGTGAAGATGCGGATGACGGGGATGGCGATGCATGTGATCCGCACCGACGGCTTCCTGGCTCTCTACAACGGGCTCAGCGCCTCGCTGTGTCGGCAGGTGAGCGTGTGGAGCTCCTGCAGCACGTGCTGCAGCTGACGAGCTGCCCTGTGCCAGGGACACAGTCGCTTATTTCCCCCTCATCCAGATGACGTATTCCTTGACTCGCTTTGGCATCTATGAGAGTGCGAAGAACCACCTGGGCAAGGGCAAACAGGGGCCTCCCCCCTTCTACCAGAAAGTGCTCTTGGGTGCAGCAGGAGGTGAGCCAGGCTGTGAGGCCCCTGGCCCTGGCTCCCTCAGGATGGATAAGCCCCTGACCCAACTCTTCTTTGGCCACAGGTTTCGCTGGCGGGTTTGTGGGGACCCCAGCAGACATGGTGAACGTCAGGTCAGTTCTGTCTGCATGACTGGGGCTTTTGGCCCGTGCATGACAGCATTTGGGGTGGTGGGTGCTGCTGGGGTGCTCCAAACATCTCTCCTGGCCGGCCTGCCCCCATGGCCAGTGAGCCTGGAGCTCTGTGCCCGCCGTGGCCAGAGCTGTTCTGCCTTTTGGTGACAGCACCCAGCCATTTGTGACCCTCAAGGGGAGTGAGACGGAAAGCAACTTTCTTGGCTCGTTGTAAACGGGCAACACAATTCCACTGCCCTGTGCTGGGGTCCCCGGCGCTGCAGGGGACAGTGGGGTACCGGCTCCCCCCTCACCTGCAGTGCTCTACCTTCTAGGATGCAGAATGACATGAAGCAGCCGCCGGCTCAGCGGCGCAAGTGAGTGAGGGGCCGGGGCAGAGGAGGCCTGGAGGGGCCGGGGGGACGGCGGGAGGCGGTGGGACGGGATCGGCGTGGCCGCGGGAGGGCAGCACCGCACCGGCGGCACGGCCCGAGCACCGCGGCGGGGTCTGGGCCGGGGCCGCCGCCCCGGGAGCCGCCGGTACCGGGGCGGGGGGGAGCGGCGGGGCTGCCGCCCTGCTGGGAGGCCTTGGGCCCTGACCTCTTCCCCTCTCGCTCCTTCCAGTTATTCCCATGCCCTGGATGGCATGTACCGAGTCCTCCGGGAAGGTGAGGCCGTGCCAGCCGTGTGGGTGAGCCTGCTCCGGTGTCCTAGCAGGTGCCGGGTCAGGGCTTACCCTGGAAGATCGCTCAGCCGGGGCAGGGAGAGAGCCTGGGAATGCCCTTGGGGCTGGGGGAGTCCAGGGGAGAGCAGGGTCTGGCAACTCTGCATCGTCTGGCAGGGGCTGGGCAAGGTGTGGCAGGGCCTGGCAGCCTGCACATACTTGGTGGGAAAGGGTGACCTGCTGGGAGCTCCAAGAGAAAGTTGGAACAGCAGATGAGCAGAGGCAGGAAGGAGGTCATGCTGTTTTGAAGGACTCCCTGCTCCTTCAGCCCGTTTGCTATGGTGTGCTTCACACAGGGTTGTGTGAGGAGTTGGGGACACAGACTGGGCATGGAAGGAGGCTCCCAGAGTAATGGAGTGTGAGTGATTGCAGAGAAATGTGCTGATCCAAATCTGTCTGTCCGCAGAGGGCCTGAAGAAACTCTTTGCAGGAGCATCAGTGGCATCGGCCCGCGGGGCCCTTGTTACTGTTGGGCAGGTAGGACAGCTCTGCTGGGCGGTAGGTGACTGAGACAGGGACTAGGATGGTCCCTGGTGTGGGAAGGAAGGGGGAACATGTCACTGATTCACCATGTCTCTGTAGCTTTCCTGTTATGACCAGGCCAAGCAGCTGGTTCTTGCAACTGGATTGCTGTCAGACAATGTCTTCACTCATTTCCTGTCCAGCTTCATCGCTGTGAGTAGGGCTGGGGTCTGGGGGGACAGCTGGGGCTGGGTTTGCCTGCAGCCAGGTTCAGAGTGTCAGGCTGGGGCTGCCAGAGCTGCCACTCTGGGCTCAGCAGGGCAGGGCCGGGCACATTGGCTCCAGGAGGCTCCTGGCCTGAGGTTGAGTCCCAGCGTGGCTCTGAGTCTCTCCAGTGACCACAGCAGTTGCTGGCACGGAGGTCTCCTGACTTGGATGACTCTCTGCAGGGTATATGTGCCACATTCCTGTGCCAGCCCCTGGATGTGCTCAAGACCCGCCTCATGAACTCCCACGGAGAGTACCAGGTGAGCTGCCCACCTTGCCGCTGCCTCTCCTCCCATCTCTGTGTGCCAGCTTCTGCCTCCCAGCCCCTCCCACCTCATCTCTCAACCTCTCACTCCAGGGTGTCGTTCACTGTGCCATGGAGACTGCCAAGCTCGGACCGCTTGCCTTCTACAAGGTACCTGGCTGAGGGTGCATGGGTGGGGTATGCTGGGTTGAGCTGGGAGCAGGAGTTGTGCTTCTGAACACTCCTGGGGCAGGGGACCTTCCAGGTTCTGGTGTGGCATCAAGCCCTGGCCTCAGTGGGTCTCAGCCTGGGCCCAGGCACCACAGCTGTGGCCCTGTTGCACCCATTAAGCTCCCACCAGCAGTGCAGGTACCAGAGGGGTTAGCACATGGTGCTGAGACCTGTGTGCACCGTGGTGGCCGTGGTGTGACAGCGCCTGCTCCACAGCCTGGCCAGTGCTGACCCGTGCCTGCTCAGTCGTGCTGCTGCCGGGGTTGGGCTGCTGGGACAACCACTGGCAGGCATTGACTCTTCCCCTTCTTGCTGTCCCCTTCCAGGGTTTTGTTCCTGCTGCTGTCCGGCTCATTCCTCACACTGTTCTCACCTTTCTCTTCCTGGAGCAGCTGCGCAAATATTTTGGGATCAAAGTGACCACCTGAGTCTGAGGGACTGGACCCTGCCTTGCCCCAGGGGGGTGAGCGTGTGGGTCACCCCCAAGATCCCAGAACCTCTCTCTGCTCTCTGGGGTCAGTGCCATTCCCCCTTCTCTCAACTCTATTCCTGTGCCTTGCCAGCACCTGTGGCCAACAACCCCCTCAAAAACTCACCTCTTCTCTCACTCCCATTCTCAGCATCTCCATCTCTGCATTACTGCTTCTGGAGGTTTTTGTGGGAGGAAGGTTCTGTCTTCCCATTTCTCTACTGGCTCTGAGTTTTGTCCTTGCCCCCCCTCAGCCTTGTCCCTGATGTGCCCTAGAAGCAGGACTGTGCTGTCTCAGGGAGTAGGGAGACCTGTACCTCGTCACAGAGCCCATGGAGCTGGGGGTGCTGCTGACCCCACAGCTGTGGGGCTGGGGCTTGGGGCAGTGTATGTGAGGCCTTGTCTTCCCTCTGCCTTCAGCCCTCATGTTCCTCCCTGACCCCAGTGCAGCTTGAACCTCCTGCCCTGCTCCTGGCCTCCCACCCTCTGCCTCTGCTTGGCCAAAACTCCTCAGTGCCGCTGGCTGCTGGGCTCATCAGGGATTGTGCCTCATAGCAATGATGGTGGGGAACATGGCCTTGCTCTGGCAGAGCCTGGTAATGCCTGCCTGGGGACCCAGTACTCACCACAGTGCACCTACCCCACACTGGATCCACCCTCTGTGGGGGCATCCCCCACCACCACTCTGCAGCCTCACTCACCTTGGGGCTGGGCAGACCCCTGCCCCTCACAGCCCCTCACCCCACACTGCCCAGTGGGTGGGGGCTGTGAACACCAACCCCTCCGCTATGTGCACCCCTGTGTGTGCTGGCCCCAAGAAATCAAAGAACTGGAATATCTGAGACCTTGATGGTATAATAAAGTGTGAAGATGTCCTGTTAGGAGAGGAGAGATGCTGCACCCCCTTTTCATGGCTGAGGGCATGGGCTGAGAGCTGAGCCCCCCAGAGCTGAGAGAGGATAGCAAGGCTTGGCCCCTGGCACAATGCCAAGAAGGGGATCTTCACCCCAGTCTGTGCCCAACACCCCTGGGCCCATGTGCAGAGGGAGCTGTGGGCAGGCTCCACAGCCAGGCCCTGCACTATGCTCTGCCTGGTCTCAGCTGGACAGCAGCTCCAGGGTAGGGCTGTGCCAAGAGTGCCTGCCACCACTGCGAGAGCTGCCTCCTGGATGTGACAGTAATTGGGCTCCAGCAGGCTGAACAGAGGCAGACTGGCACAGCAGAGCAGTGAGAGCTCGTCACCTTAACAAGGCCTAATGATGCTAACTGGCATCACCACTCTGGGCTTACGCCCAGCTGCAGCAGAGGCCATGGGTAGTGAGTGCTCACGGAGCTGGGCCCTCTCCTCACAACTAGCTGGAGGCTTCCCTGCCAGGCTATGCTTCTTCATCCCCCATGTCCTGCAGCACTGCTCCTGGGGCTGATGGGTGCTGCTCTGTGTCATGCAAAGGCCAGCGTGGAGCAGGAAAGTGTTGGAGCCCCACGGCTCCCCAGCAGCACAGAGTCCTGCTCTGCCCCACGATGGCCAGTGGCAGGGACATTCCAGCCGAGCTGTGGTCCCCCCAGCTGTGCCAGCCCTGTGGTCCCGGTGTGCACGTACCTTCTCACCAGGTCCCTTGTGGCAGCTGAGCTGCAGCAATCACACTGGCAGGACAGGATGTGCCAGACACAGCCGTGAGCACAGCGCCCACAGCTGCAGTGCGAGGGCACTACTTGTCTCTTGAGCATCAGAGAACATGGGGCTGGGAGCAGCCTGTGCCCGTGTCTGTGCTGGCTGCCCCCTGGTCCCACCCTGCCCTCTGCCAGAGCCCCCGCAACTGGCTGCAGGGGCTCCCCCAGGGCACGGCTCTGCCCCCACCTGCCAGAGCTGGGGGCTTCCAGTCCTCCCCCAAAGCCCCCGCAGCCCCCAGCGTGTGCCCGAGCTCCTCTGCTCACACCCACGGGGGCTTCCAGCCAGCGGCGGCTGCACAGCGTGGGACCCCGAGGGAGGCAGCTCTGGGGGATCCGGGGCTGCGCTGCCCGGGGTCCGTGCTGGCTGTACCAGTGCTGCCACGGCCGGCTTAACCAACAGGTCCTGAATGGTTCAAGGTAAATAAATGTGTTCGTGCCGGGAGGCGGGGACAGGGCACCCCGAGGCCGGGGGCTCCCCCGGATCCCCCTTCAGCCCCAGCCGGTCCCGGTACGTCGCTCTTTCCGGGCTGTGTTTACCTGCAGCGGGACAGGGGCGGCAAACGCTGACCCGTCACGGCCGGCGGTGGCCGGAGCGCGGCTGTCGAGGCGGCTCGCGGCGGTCCCTGGGGATCCGAGCAGCCAGCTCGGGGCACGGCAGGAGCGGGCGGCGCGCTGGGACCGGGGAAACCTCCCGGAGGAACGGGCCACCGGCCTGCTCCCTCGGGGCTGCCCCCGCCGCTCCGCCCGTCCCCTCCGCCGAGCCGAGCCGGTGCCCGGGAGTGGGGCGGGGCAGGGACAAGCGGCGGCGCTCCCGCAGCTCCCGAGAGCGACCGCCGCTGATGCGGGGGGCAGCGCCAAGCGCTCGGGCGGGGCTGGGGCACCGGGCTGTGCCCCCCTCGTGCCCGCGGGAGGAGCGGGGCGGCGGGACGTGGCTCCGCGCCCGCGGTCCCTCCCCCCGAGCCGGTCCCTCCCCCTGAGTCGGCACAGCCGCTGCCGTCGCGGCTCCGCTAAAGTTTTCTCCGAGTGCGCCGGACCCGGTCCCCACCGGTCCCGAGATGCGTTCGGGAGCCGCCGCGAGCCCAGCCCCGACAGGTACGGGGAAGGAAGGGAGGAGGGCAGGGAGCGCCCAGAGCCGCCGAGCTCGGGATGTCGCGCGTCCCATCGCGGGGATGTGGATTCGAGTGACGACTGCGCAACCCCGGGGCCACGAATTGAGCCCCGGGACCCCAGAACGGCGGCTCCCAGAGCCGCCCGGATGCTGGGAGCCGGCCCTGGGGAAAATGAGCCCCTGGGTGACGGGTGTTCTGGGCTGGGGTCCCGGCAGAGCTGTGCCCGCTTCCCGTCCCACCGCTGCCGCTGGCGTCCCTGGGCAGGGGCGCTGCCGTCAGACTCACAGCACCCCTGGGCTCTGCCCTGGCTATGGTGAGCCCCCGGCCAGCGATTCCAGCTGAGCTCCGTCGCGTCGGGAGTAATTCCCGGAGCAGCCCTTAGTCGGGGTGGGACGCGCGTGGTCTCCTTGCTGTGGGCACAGCCGTGCCCGTAGGTCTCCTGCCGAGGGGCCGAAGCAGGGGACACTTTGCCAGTTCCCAGCTCTCCCCAAACTCTCTGGGTATTACGGGGGCCTGGTGCGAGTGCCCTTTGTGACTCTGTCCCAAGCTCTGCTGTGTCAACACGGTGTTGGTAAATGGCTTTGTTTAACCAGGACATGTCGGGTATGTGACCTTGCCGTCCTCCTGGTTGCAATTGCATCTTCAAAGCTGCTGCAGGTCCCCTCTGCCCGCCACTGCACTCCCCTCGGGATGGTGAGGGAAGCAGGGGCCGCGGGGGTCAGCCTGCTCCCCTCGCACAGGATGGCCTGAGGACAGAGCATCTGCTCTGCTCAGCCCTTGCCGTGCATCCCGCGGCACAGCACCCTGCCCCATGCAGCGCCTGCCACGGGTGTCCTGACCCACACCAAATTCAGTGATTTCCCCTGTGATTTTGTCTGTGCATCAGCAGGAAAATTTAGGGCCCGCAGGACCCCTTGTCAGCATGTTAGTGCTGCCCCAGCTGCCAGCTCTAGTGGCTTCCCACCAATCCTGCTCCTTTCCGCACACTGTGGTGCATTTTTTTTTTTAATGTTCTGTTGCCTAGAGAGGGGAAAAGAGAAAAGGCTGAATGGAGAATAGGCAAAACGTGGATTAAAAATAGTTAATGAAAAAATGTGACCACAAACCCTGATCAGCAGCACAGGGCTAAAACCAGCCACTGAACACAGCATCTCCATGCACCTTGCTGTGCCAGGCAAGGACAGGGGCAGGGGAATCCGGACACAGGGAAGATGGGATGGCTGCTCAGCTCCATCCCCTTTTGCTCCACCACTGCATCCTGCTTTATCCTGCATCCTCATGTGCTTGTTTATCGACCCCAGCACTGGGGTCGAGTGCACATGCCTGTGCACAGCAGGTACCAGTGGGTGGCTGGGCATGTGTGGTCCCCCCAGCACCCCCTGCCTTGCTGGGGCTGGTGTCTGGCTGTACCCGGGGCTGCAGATGTGCTGGTCGGGTAGGCGGGTGTGGAGCTCCCAGTGCAGGGGAGTGTGCGCACTAGCCTGTCTGCACTGACCTTTTCCTAGGCTTTTCCCAGCCCTGTGCCTCCCCTGTGACATGCTAACCACACGTGTCACACTGTGCCTCTTGTGCCTTCCTTCTGTGTTTCATAGGTTTTCATGCAACGTGATGAACAAAAACATCCCTTTCCTTGAGCCAGGAATGAGGTGCTGTGTGGCTCAGCATCCCTTTGCCAGAGCCAGCTGGGCAGCGAGGTAATTTGGCTGCTGCCAGGCTGTATCATGGTCCCTCTCTGGTACAGGGCAGCTGTGCAGGTGCCCCCTGACTGCCTTGTGGTGACCAGGCAGTTAGTGGAGGTGATGCAAAGAGCATTTGTCCTCTGTGCATCCTATGCTGCTTTTGACAAAAACACTGTCAGGGCTGGTTTGGGTTTTCTTGGTCCAAGGTGCCACAGAATCTGACATCACCAGTGCCTGGTGACATCTGTTCTCTCCATGTGCTGCTGCTCAGGGCTTCCACAATCATGTAGCTCTGTGCAAACAAGTCACAGCCTTGCAGCACAAGGACTGTTCCGGGCTGCTCAGCTGTGCCTCTGCTGCCAAAGTTCCTTGTACTTAGTTCTCAAGGAAAGAATGGAGAAGGGGAGTAGGAAACATTCCCAAGCACAGACACGGGGCAGGGATGGTGCAGGACAGGCCTCCTGGGTCTCTGTGCCATGGCCATCTCCCCTAGCCTTGCCCCGCTTGCCGTGGTCCAGGGTGGAAAGTGGAGCAGCATCTGCAGGGCCAGGCTGCCTTTGGCATTGCATCAGCTCTGGCCCAGCACTGTCCCCTCCCCTGCCAAGTGCCAAAGCCCCTGCCGTGCTGGCATGTAGCTCCAAGCTCCAAGCCAAGCCAGCCGTGGAAAGCACCGCATTAGCACACGGGGGGCTAATCCCCATGTCCAGAGGCCACACAGCCCCCACAGCTGCCTCCAGGCCAACGGGGTTGTGCTGGGTGCAGGACTGTGCTCACAGGAGACCAGGTTCTCACCCCACTGGGTGGAGAAGAGTCCTGTGGGACCAGGGCCTGTGGGGCTGCAGCAGCCTCACAGCACTTGGGCAGGGCTCTGGCTGTGCCATGGTGCTCCCAGGTCACGTTGCAGATGCCCATGAGTGTCCTTTGGAGACTTTACTGAGCCACTGATCCACATGACTATTGGCTGCAGTGATCCCAGATGTGGAGCTCGTTCTCTCACACGTGCAATGGCAGCAAAGCCAGAGGGGCTAGGTTGGCAAAATCCCCAGGGTAAGCTGACCACGATGGGACGAGGAGAGAGTCTCTTCCTAGGCAGGTCCATGCTGGTACAGAGCTGCTGCAAGGTAGCATGGAGGCTGCACACCCATCAGTGGGAGCAAAATCCTAACACAGGCCTTTTCCCATCCATTCCCTATGGAATGCCATATCCATTCCCATGCCAATGCCATGGCAGCAGTGCACCCAGGTCCTCAGTTTGCCCTGCACCCTGCCCAGGCTGGCCCCTGCCTCCTGACCACCCTGGGGCCAGTGGCAGCGGCCATCAGATGCAGGTCAGCTGGGGGCCACAGGGGCACCAGTCAGGGGAACAGGGGTCCTTGCTTTGCCCCTGTGGCTGCAGGGGTGGCACTGCTGGCTTGGGAAAGGCAAATGGAGACGCCAGTGACAGCCCCGCTCTGAGGACAGATGATGGTGCCTGTGTCTGACCCCTCTGGCTCCCAGCACTGGGGCTACCAGAAGTGGTGTTGCACGTAGCCATACCAGTGTTGGCTTCTTGTTCCTGCTCTCCCAGCACAAGGTCTCTTCTTCATGGCTATGGCTCCAAGTGGAGCCATACTGGGTGTTTGCAGCCTGGGCTCCATGAAGGTCAGCAGCCACAGAACTGTGACACAGGAGCATACCACATTGTCCAACACCAATATGGGGAAAAAGTCCCTTGGACAGCCACTGTCATGCACTGCAGCCCCTCAGAGGCATCAATTCAGCACTCTCCACCCACTGCTTGTGACTTGGTGTGGTGGGGGATCCCCCAAAGCCCAGCCCCAGCTGGGGATGAGGTGCCAGGGCAGGGGATGTGGCACTGGGAGTCAGTTGCACAGAGCAGAGTGAGAGGAGGTGGTGAGGATGTGGGGTCAGGTCCCTCGTGCACGGCTGCCTCTGGCACCCAGGACACAGCTGAGAGGGGCTGCAGCACGTCCAACTGGTAGAGCGGCTGCCCAAGGCACTGCTGCTGGGCAGTGCCAGCTCTGGGGAGGTGCTTGTGCTGCCAGTGGTCCCAGCCACTCCAGACCTTGCTGCTCCACCACGGAGACACTGCTCCCTCTCTGCCATTGCCCACTGGCACCAGAGCAGCGAGAGCTGGTCCATGGCTACTTCTGCACGCCCACATCTCTGCTGGAAACAGCTGCCTGTCTGCAGGGAGCCCTTGTCCTGTGGGTAGCGGGGATCCGGCACGGTGCCACGGCTGTGCGGTGCCACAGGCAGCTGGGGCAAAGGGCCTGGGCAGGGTGAGGGGGAAGACCCGTGCTGGGGCGAGGAGCATAACTGGCCCCTGTGCCAGGACCCCTCACCCAGTGCAGTCTGCCCGGCTTGGCCACAGTGGGGCCAGGGCCGGGGAGCGGCTGCCAGATGGGGGGAGTCCAGGGCAGAGGCCTCCCTGCTGCTAAATCCCACTGCAGCAACTAAAAATAGCGACACCTCTGCCCCAAAGTTGCTCCCCAGCTGCGCAGAGGGGCTGACAGCAAGTCACTGTGACCTGTGGACCTGGAGGAGCATTCACAACCAGGGCAGGGACTGATGCTTGACCAGGGACGGGCACTGGGATCTTCCTGTGGGACTGGGACATAGGTGGCAGCGGGATGGGACAGGTAGGAATGATGTGGGGCTGGAGGGGGGCACAGGGATGGTGGGATCAGGCTAGCAGGGGGACGAGGACAGGGATGCTGGCATGGGGCCAGCATGGGAGGAAAGAGACAGGGATCCTGAGATGGATGGGAGAGGGACTAAGACAGGGATACTGGTGGGGCAACAGTGTTGCTTGGGTGGGGTGGAGTGATGACAAAACCAGGAATTCTGGAATGGTCAGGTAGCTCGTGGGCACCCAACAGAGGTCCATATTCACAGAGCCCACCCAGTGAGAACTTCCCAGGAGACCGTTCCCTCTGTCCTGGGACTGGCTAAATAAGGCCATCGCAGGTCCTGCTCCCCAAGCTGCATCTGGAGCCCCATGCGCTGATTAATGAGCTTCTCCTTCAGCCACTTGCGACATGGCAAGTGGGTCTGCACGGATGGAGGAAACACGACTTTCCCAGGGATAAAAATAGACACGGGCAGAGCAGCAAGCCCTGGGAGCAGAGCTGGTTGGGGAGCACGACGCTCTGGCTGGTGCCCAGGGGGGGCCCAGGGGCTGGGGGTGATGCCACAGTGCCTGTGGTGGCACTGGCACTGCTGTCCATGCCATCCCCCCCAGCTCAGCTGCCCTCACCCCACACAGCCGGGCCGTGCTATAATGGGCTCTTGTGGGAAGAGCTGAAATCCTGCTCAGGAGCCCCATAACCGGCTTAGGGGGATGGAGGGAATTACAGCACCTCGTGAGCCATGGTCTGTGGAGCACCCGGACACCATGTCCCCATGTCACTGGCAGGAGCTGGGGAAGATGGACCCACAGGGGCACAGCCCAGCTGAGCTTGTCCTAGAGCCACAGCAGCTCCACGAGCCAGGATCCCTGTGGGTTAATGGCCAGTGTTCCCATCCCTGCTGGTACCCGTGCTCTCCGTGGCTCCCTGGCACTGCCATCCTCAGTGGGTGCTGCTGCGAGACCACAGCTGAGTGTTAGTGGTCCAGGTCCGAGAGACCATGGAGATGGGGAGAGCCCAGGTGCCAGCCTCTCTGCCTGAGAGGGTGCTCAGGTGTGAGGAGGGGTCCCTTCCACCATGGGGGTCCTGCATTCTCAGGATTTAGCAACGATGCGCAGCTGGGTCCCAGCAGCAGTGTGGGTGGCACCAGCCCAGGTTTTCTCTGGGGGTCTGGAGGCAGCACTGCCACTGCACCCCAGCCACACAGGGGCTGAAATTGGCTTGGCAGGCAGAGAACCTGCATGGTCACTGTCCCAGTGCCATCCTGGGGTGGATAAGACAGGTGCTTGGTGAAAAAATGAGTGGACAAATAGCTGAATGTGAACACCAAGAAGGGTCGGGTGAGGATGAGGACACCATGACTGGGGCTGGCTCTGTGCCAGAGTGGCTGTCTCCATCCCCACCTGCCCCCAGCCCCATGTCCCCCAGCTCTGTCCCAGGAGTCCCCGTGACCAGGAATCTTGCACAGGGTTGCCCACATGCCAGGGCCGTCACCACCAGGGTGGAGAAGCTGCTGAGGGCCAGTAGGAAGCCGTGTGTCCTGCGCTGTGTCCTATGCATGTGGTCCAGAGGAGGGATGTCCCAGCCACATCTCTTTACCCTCCTGTTGCTGCTGCTCTGCTGCCAGGTAAGGATGGGCTGTTGTACACAAGGGTGCTCTGCCCCATGCTCAGCCCACAGGACTCCCACTGATCCACCCATCCCTCTGCATCCTCTCACCATGGCATGTGGTCCAGCAGCTGATGCCCCTTTCTGCCTCCCCTGCCATCCATGAGACATGGCATGGCACAGCACAGAATGGCATGGCACAGCACAGAATGGCATGGCATGACATGTTGGCCTGCACTTGCCTGTGGCTGTCCCCAAGCTGGGGTCACTGCCTGGCACAGCATGGTGGCCCCTGCGAGCAGGACACGTGTTATGGGTGATGCTCCCTGGTGCCCGCAGGGCCCCTCTGCCCAGATCACGGATAATGTCGTTGAGAGATGGAAGGAGTACAGCGAAGAGTGCCGGCGTAACATGAGCCGCCTGCCTGCGCCCACAGGTCAGTGCCTGTGAGGGGTCCAGTGGGCTTCTGGTGGGATGGGATGGGGACAGGGTCCTATTGAGATGGGGATGGGGCAGAGGAACCACCAACACAGTCCCAGCAGGATGGGGGATAGAGCAGAGGGGCCAGTGGAGGTCCTAGCACCCAGAGAGAGGGTGAGGCCAAAGCGCCACCAGCTCCTATCCTTCTGCAGAGCTGGTCTGTAACCGCACCTTCGACAAGTTCTCATGCTGGCCTGACACGATGCCCAACAGCACAGCCAGTGTGCCCTGCCCCTGGTTCCTGCCCTGGTACCAGAAAGGTAACAGCGGGGAGATGCATGTGCATGTGCAGCTGTGCAGTGTGCTCACACACGTGTGCAGTGCTCACACACGTGTGCAGTGTTCACACACGTGTGCAGTGTGCTCACACACGTGTGCAGTGTTCACACACACGTGCAGTGTTCACACACATGTGCAGTGTGCTCACACACGTGTGCAGTGTTCACACACACGTGCAGTGTGTTCACACACGTGTGCAGTGTGCTCACACACATGTGCAGTGTTCACACACGTGTGCAGTGTTCACACACGTGTGCAGTGTGCTCACACACGTGTGCAGTGTGCTCACACGTGTGCAGTGTGTTCACACACATGTGCAGTGTTCACACACATGTGCAGTGTTCACACACGTGTGCAGTGTTCACACACGTGTGCAGTGTTCACACACATGTGCAGTGTTCACACACATGTGCAGTGTTCACACACGTGTGCAGTGTTCACACACGTGTGCAGTGTTCACACACGTGTGCAGTGTTCACACACGTGTGCAGTGTTCACACACGTGTGCAGTGTTCACACACATGTGCAGTGTTCACACACGTGTGCAGTGTTCACACACATGTGCAGTGTTCACACACATGTGCAGTGTTCACACACGTGTGCAGTGTGCTCACACGTGCGCACCTGTGCGCTGGGGACACCTGTGTGCTGTGTGCGTGTGCTGCTGCAGGCAGTCACACCTGGGCCAGTGCACGCTGCCCACAGGGGCGCTGGGGCTGGCACAGCCCACCATCCCCTCCCCTCACAGTGAAGCACAGACACGTCTTCAAGACCTGTGGGCCAGACGGACGGTGGGTGACAGGGCCACGGGGACAGTCCCTGCGCGATGCTACACAGTGTGAGCAGGATGACGAGGACCTAAAGGCGCAGGTGGGTAAATCTGGGTAGCAGGGGTGTGGGGGTCCCTGTCTGCCCCCCCATCTGCCCCTGCTCTCACTCCCTCCCTCCCCTTCCAGGAAAAATTTGCCAAGACCTATGGCAGCTTCAAGGTGATGTACACTGTGGGCTACTCTGTGTCCCTGTGTGCACTGCTGCTTGCCCTGGCCCTGCTGCTGGGCTTCAGGTGGGAGTTTGGGCATGGCTGTCCACAGGGTGGGCAGGTGGAGGCCAGGGGCCTGTGCACAGGCATTGACAATGGCCCCAAATCCACAGCAAGCTGCACTGCATGAGGAACTACATTCACATGAACCTCTTCGCCTCCTTCATCTTGAAGGGCGTCTCTGTGCTGGTCATTGACGCCCTGCTCAAGACCCACTACAGTGACAAGATCGATGGCTACAACGTGCAGGTCTGGCTGAGCGACGAGGTCAGTGCGGCTCTGGCAGGGACAGGGACAGCAGTGCTGGTGGGGCAGGGGGTTGGCTGCTCTGAGGGCACCAGTGGGACGAGTCTGGTGGCACTGGTGGGACTGGGGGCACAGGCACACAAACACAGGCAGTGCTGCAGCACTGCAGTGCTGCGTGCTGCAGTGCTGCAGCCCTGACCCCTGCCCACAGGCAGCCGCAGGCTGCCGGGCAGCCACGGTCTTCATGCAGTACGGCATCGTGGCCAACTATTGCTGGCTGCTGGTGGAAGGCATCTACCTGCATAACCTGCTGGTGGTGGCCGTCTTCTCCGAGAGGAGCTACTTCACCCTCTATCTGTGCATCGGCTGGGGTGAGTGTGGGTGGGCTGGCCCCACTGACCCTGTCCCCTGCTGTGCCTCACCTGTCTTCTGCTCACCTCCCCTCAGGGGCGCCCATGCTGTTCCTGATTCCCTGGGTCATCGTGAAGTTCCTCTACGAAAACATACAGTGAGTACCAGCTCCAGCTGCTGGCTGGAGGGGGGCACAGGGCACAGGTAGGTGCACGTGGGACTGTAGGGATGTTGTGATGGCCTTGGAGAGACTCCACACCGTTGCCCATGCAAGGAGCAAGGTGCTGGGCCTTAGTGCTTGCGTGGCTCAGGCTGCCAATGCCATGTCAGACTCCAGCAGCTGCCTGGTCAAGGGGCTTCCTGGCAGTCCCCATCCCTCCCTTCTGCAGGTGCTGGTCCACGAACAACAACATGGGCTTCTGGTGGATCCTTCGCTTCCCCGTGTTCCTGGCCATCCTGGTGAGCCCACTGCAGTCCCTTGCTCGATGTCTCTCTCACAGGCCCCAAGATGGCTCTGAGAAGGCTGCTGAGGGCAGGGGAGCAGAGGTGTCCTGTCTGCCCCTGCCTCTGGCACTACCTGTGCTCTTGATGGCTCACTCCATTCCATTGCAGATCAATTTCTTCATCTTCATCCGCATCATTCAGATCCTTGTTTCCAAGCTCCGTGCACACCAGATGCGCTACACTGACTACAAGTTCAGGTGGGTGCTGCACTTGGCTCACCCTGTGTTCCCATGGTGCACACGCATGTGTGTCCACACGGTGACCCCATCCCACAGGCTGGCCAAGTCCACACTGACACTGATCCCACTGCTGGGCATCCACGAGGTGGTCTTCGCCTTCATCACAGATGAGCATGCCCAGGGCACGCTGCGTTACGTCAAGCTCTTCTTCGACCTCTTCCTAAGCTCCTTCCAGGTGAGGCCAGCCCCCACAGGACCAGCCCTCCATGGGGAGACTGAGTCTCAGGAGGGACTAGACTGAGGCCTGGTTATGCACTTTACACCTCTCCTCCCTCTTCCCAGGGGATGCTAGTGGCCATTCTCTACTGCTTTGTCAACAAGGAGGTGAGCAGGACAGTAGGGGCAGGGGCAGCAGGGGCACAGGGTCACACTGACAGCTGCTGCCCGCAGGTGCAGGCAGAGCTGCTGAAGCGGTGGCAGCGCTGGAAGCTGGGGAAGGACCTGGCTGAGGAGTACAAGCACACCTACAGTCACGGACCCAGCACCCGCAATGGCGCTGGCAGCACCTGTGAGAAGCACCAGCTGGTGAGTGGCTGCACCAACGGGCTGGGGCGCAGCCTGGCCCCCCACCCCAGCTCCCAACGCCTGGAGAGGAGTGGGCGCAGCACTGCCGAGCACCTCGCCCTGGGGGGCCATCACCACTGCTATGAGTTTCCCGAGACCACGGCTGAGAGCCACTTCTGAACCCGCAGCCAGGCAGGAGGGCTGTGCTGAGCTGCTGGGATGCCACCGTTCCCTGCCCTGACCTCCCCAGGTGTTGGCAGGCACTGGGACCTGCCACCCTGGTGAGGGTGCTGCATTGGGCACATGGACAATGGACACAGTGAGGCAGGCAAGTGGGACCTGGACCTCTAGAAGGGGGAACTGTGGGGCCAGGGGGATCTATGGGGGTGGGAGTTTGTCCTATGGTGCTGCCCTCGTGCACCTTCGAGTCGCTGTGCGCAGTGCTGTAATTTATCTGTCGTATCTGTAAATAGGTGTGGGCCCGTGCCGGGCTGCAGGGCCAGCTCTGCGTGTGCCTCTCTGTGGGCTGTGGGGACTGGGGACACTGGGGACATGTGACACGTGTGGACCATGCTCCCAAGCCACAGCCATGGATGGGGAGCTGGCACCTGGCAGGGATGGGCTGCACCAGAAGACAGCCCCACTGACTGCCCCACTGTCAGAGTCCCAGCCCAGCAGTCCTGCTGCCCCGCTGCCTGCCCCGCGGTGCTGCACAAGTGAGTGGGGCAGACGTGCAGCAGCTGCAGCCGCCGCAGCGCTGCCGGCCGGGGCTCCAGCTCCCCCAGCACGCGCTTTCCTTTGGCCGCTAATCGGCTCTGTCCTCTCGCTGCCAGGAGCCCTTAATTAAATCATTTGGCTCTGCCCGCGGCACCCCCGCTCTCCCGGTAGCTGGCCCAGGCCGAGGCCGGGCATCAGCCGCGGGCAGCGCTGAATTCCGTGAGCAGCAGCGGGGTGTGGGGCTGCAGGACCGCTGTGCCGACAGGCCGGGCTGGCCGGGGCGGGCTCACAGCGCTGGCCTAAGAGGCTTGTGCTGCGCACATGAGCGCTAAGCCCGGATGCCGCAGCTTTGGGCACCACAATCGCCTGGTGTGTGGGGATTAGGCTGGTGTCGCTCCCCGGCTGGGTTCGGACAGCCGCCCCGCCGTGACCCCCACCGCCCACAGACCTGGCCGTGGGCACTGCCCATCATCGCCATTCACTCTGCCCCACCTGGCCCCGAGCGGGTGACGGTCCCGGTTGTCCAAGGCCCAGCTCGGCACAGAGGACGTGCTGAGCGGGGGGTGAGAGCCCCGGCAGCCCCAGCGGGCAGGCGGCCGCCCCCTCGGTAAATCGCAGCCTGTCGCAGCATCCCCCGCACCGCGTGGCCGTGGCCCTGCCACCCGCGGCAGCCGGCAGGAGCCGCGCTGTCTGCTCCCGGAGCACCGCGAGCCATCGGCGCGGCTGGCGCGGCACCGCTAAAGAAGAAATGGCCCAGGCCACGCAGAGCTTGGCTCCGGCAGCAGAGCCCAGCCCAGCACACAGTAATTTTCCTCTGTTTACTCGACAACTTGCTGTCTGCCCTGGCCGAGCAGGACCCGGCGCCCGAGAGCCAGTGCAGCGCTGGCAGCGGGGATGGGAGCAGCAGAGACGGGACAGAGGGTCAGGGTTGTGGGGCTTGGGGTTGTGGGGCAGCGGCAGCAGCACCGTGGGGCTGTGAGAACAGAGGAACTGTGGCGAAACGGGCGAGGGGAGGGGAGCACAGGGTTGGGGGCCTGCCCAGGTCCCCAAGTGCAGGGATGGGGACAGGAATAGAAAAGGACAGGGATCACCCTGCTCACAGCCATGGTGCCAGAGCGGCCCAGGCAGCCCCCGCAGAGACAACGGCCCTACAGCCGCTGCCGTCACTGCGGCCTTCCTGATGTGGTAACAAGCCTAATTGAGGCAAATTGCTAGAGCACAAAGCAGTTTCTGGGAAGGTAAATATGGTCATGGCACGGGGCCGTGCCCTGTGCCTGTTACTTCAGTGTTGCTGTAGCAACAGCCCACTGTCGACCCCCAACCCTGCTGGAGCCAGGCTGGCCCCCACACCTCGCCCATAGGGTGGCCCTTTGTGTGCCACACAATGATGGAGACCCTTCAGGGACCTTGAGCCAGCCCCAGCCCATGGGTATCCTGTGGAAGTGTCCTGTGTCCCCTGGCACTGAGGGGCAGCCCCCAGCACTGCCCCATGTCCCACAACCCCTGTCACCCAACAGCACTAAGGAGGGATGGTGTCTGCTGGTGCCCAAGAGCCCTGAGCAAGCACACGATGTCTGCATGCACCAGGACATGTCCCATAGCACCTGTGCCAGCCAGATGCGTCCCAGAGCCGGGCACTGCCTGTGCCGCAGGGCTGAGTCCACAGCCCTGTGACTTGGTCACCTCCAACTCCCACAGAGCCACATGATCTGGCCAGCAGCTCCTCGATAACCACGGTAACTACAGCCCCCAGGACAGCTGGGTCAGGAGGCAACACTGCTCCTGGGACCTCCCTGGAAGTGGGGCTGGCCTTGGCCCAAGGACACAGCTCCTGTGGGACTGCAGCACTGTCCTTCCCCATCACTGCAGAGCTGCTGGAACAGCACCCCTACCTGCCCTGGCCTGGCACTGCCAGCACTCGGGTGTACCCCCACCCCAAGGAACAGCTCAGGCAGCACAGCCTGCGCACCTGAGCGCACACCTACACCCCACACACAATGTACACCCACACCCACACCCACCTACCTACACCCCACACACACATACACACACACATACACACACACCTCTACACCCCACACGCAATGTACACCCCCCCCACACACACACACAGACACACACACACACAGACAC